GCCGGGAAAAAAGCGGCAGACATGTTTATTTAAATCGGCAAGGGGATATTTAAATCCCCCGCGGATTTCCCTATCCTGACTTACCTGATTTGCATGGCTTTTCCGGAAATTGTGGCCAGTGTAGACGTAGCCCTGAAGTTCATATTCTTGAACCTCTTGACAATTCTCATTTAAAAATAGTTTTAAGATGCAAAAGTGTAGGAAGAAAAGTCTCAAGAACCTTATGACCTACAAAGGGCATAAAGGGTGTAGAATCCTTAGCATTCAAGCCTGCTTGAGGCAGATGAGACTCAAATTATAGTCTCAAATCTTGTTGCTATTGGAGCTAAAACAAATTTTGTCTAGGAAATGAATCCTGCTCCCTATGAACCGAACAAACTTTCCATTCATTTCCAGGGAAGCAGAATTGGGCCTGTAGGTGTAATTTGTTTGACTATTTTCTCTTCAGCTATTTTTAATGAAGTAACTGAATTAGGCATAGGTTGGTGCATCTTTAATGTAATTATAATGAATATATTTTGTATGATTAAAATGATAAAACTGTGTGGCTTTAAATATTGTCTTAAAAGATTTGTCATCTACAGAGCCTTTGGGAAAGGTGTTTGTGAGTGACTGTTCCAAAAGTCAATTTTTGTTCAATCTGCAATCCAAATATATTAATAATGTAGTATTGTTTTAACTTTAAAAATAGTCATTAAAAGTTCTTGAGCCAAAGTACAATTACTATATTGTATTACGTATGCACATGTGTTCATGATCTATTTTTATTTGTTTTTTGAATTTGTCAACATTTCAAATGGTTTGACTAGTCTAAACTGAAATCCCATTCACTGTAGTTATGGAATAATCCCTTTTTGAAAAAGATGAAAGATTAGGATTCGAGTTATTCAATTTTTGGCTTGGGTACAAACAAGATATGTGGCTTTAGATAAGTCATATGCCTCTTTCTATTCTCCATTTAGATTATGGGAATATTACTTCTCTATATTAAGAGGTCATGTTGAAGAAAAATTAAGGCCTGTGAGACACTCGGTGAACTTCATATTTATATATAATAAGATGCAAATGTGTCTTCCGGAGAAGTTTTACAACAAGTAGCGCAATAATATTTGAGAATAGTAAAACCAACTGCCCCAAGTTCCTCAACTCACCCCTGTGAAACAGAGCAGCTTTGAACCATCTCTGAGTGTAATAGGAGAGAAATATTAGACCAAGTGGAAGAAGCAAATCTCCATGGTCTCTCTAGATCAGGGGTTCTTAACCAGTGAGGTGTACCTCCCCAGGGGCTAGGTGAAGAGGATACAGGGGAGGTGTGAGGTGTCTCCCAGAAAATTTATCACAATTGCCTTCTCACTGGATAAAATTCTAAAGTTTAGATTTCGTCAATTATTATTATGAATTAAAATGATAAACATTAATTTATTAATGTCTAGAGATCGGCACACTACAATAGCAGTGCGAATCAATCAGGCCTATGTGACGACACTACAGTAACAGTTAGCAAGCATTGCCGACTTTCATCTTCAAACATTACATAAATTTGTTACAAAAAGGTTCAAAGTAAAAAGCTCATATTATTCATTTAGGCATTGCAATGTGGTTCACTCACCCCACAGTGCCACCAGCTATCAGACTTGGGAATTAGCTTAGACAGCTGCATCCAGATGGTTTACCTAGTCCTAGGGTTCAGGCAGGGTTCGAGCCGGGCCTTCAGCTCAGGCCGGTTCTCTGAATCGCCATGCAGCAGTAGAGCCTTGGGTTCCTCTAGGTCAGAGGGTAGCCCTGCTGGCTGGCTTGGCCAGGCCTCAGCAGCCCAGGCAGAGAAGCCTTTGCTGGCCTGAGGGAAGGCAGCTGTGGGAGGCCCAGGCCAGGTCTCAGCCTTGTCAGACAGGAGCTCTGCACAGGCTTTTGACTCCCTCAGAAGCTGGGCCTTGACAGAGCTCCTTGGCAGAGTTCTTATAGTCCTAGCCACGCCCCTTAGCTTCTTGTCAGGTGAGGGGGCGGGGCTAGGCTGTGCACAAAATGGCTCCGAGGGGGAGGGGGGTGAACATGAAGTTCACTTTCAGGGGGAGGTGTGAAAGTAAAAAGGTTAAGAATCCCCTGTTCTAGATACTATTTCCTGGAGAATAATATTCCCTCTTGGAGTGATAAAACTGAATTAAAAAGTGGTTGTTGGGTGCACTCCCTCAAATAAGGTCTCTACCCCTCTCCAAGTTGTTTTCTTTAACCTACAAGTAGTATTCCAGTGACCTCTGAATTGAGCCTTCATTCGAGCTCCATTCATACTAGGTGAGTCATTCAACTGTATTAGGAAGATGGAGTCATAACTCATACTGAAAGTGCTATAACTCATGCTCTCTCTAACCTGCCTGATGGCCTGTGCAAGTTTGACAGAAGGATTGACCCTGGAACCTTGGGGTGTGTCTAGACTGCATGGCTCCGTCGACGGAGCCATGTAGATTAGTTTACTAGACATAGGAAAATGAAGCAGCGATTTAAATAATTGCTGCTTCATTTACATCAAAATGGCCACCGTGCTGTGCCGATCAGCTGTTTGGCGGCACAGCGCGGTAGTCTGATGCGCCGCGGTTGACAAGGGAAGCTTTTGTCATCCGCTCTGGTAAACTTAATTTCATAAGGCATAACGGAGCGGTTGACAAGGGGCTTCCCTTGTCAACTGCAGAGCATCCAAACTACTGCGCTGTACCGCCAAACAGCTGATCAGCACAGCACGGTGGCCATTTTGAAGTAAATTAAGACATTTTCCTATGTCTAGTAAACTCTTCTACATGGCTCCGTCGATGGAGCCATGTAGTCTAGACACACCCTTGGAGTCCTACGTGAGACTGTTTGGGTCAGGCAAAGATACAACACTATATTCCAAATCTTCACTAAAGAAGGAGTCAAGACACCTGCTAACAAGTATATAGTTAACTTCATTTTTGTTTGTAATTCTACTGAGATCAACGGAACTACCTGTACTAGTAAAGTTAAGCATTTCATACATAGAGTTTATAGACTGAGACCCAAGACATCACCATAAATCCCTGCTGAGGACTGCAGATGTATCACTGAAAGCTCATGGGGAATAGCACCAAGCCCATCAACTAATCTAAGGAAAATAGTATGGAAAGGTTATCTCCATCTTCAGTTAAGTTAGTGTAGTTTTTTAAAAAAACGTAAAACAAGGTTCAGATCCTGAAGTGTTTAGATAGGGACACAGATGCCTTACCATAACCTCTTAGACAACATTCCCCAAACAACAAGCAGGTTCATAATTCATGTGTGCCTATTTTTAATGATTTCTTAAAGAAAGCTGTCACCTGTGTGCCATCTGTAACATGTTTCCCCAAATGTGGAATTGCCTCTTCCCATTTAGTCTACATTGATCTTAAGATAGAAGAGATCACTGATCAGCTAGTCCACCCTCTTGCACAATTCAGGCCACCGCATTTCTGCTGCCACAAAGAATTTATTCTTCCCTAGCTAGTAAGTGAATCCATCAAGCCTAAGAGTGTGTGGTTAGAGTATAACTCCTAGAAAACATTCAACCTTGATTTAAAGTAAAACTGAGAATTTGTTACCTGCCTTGGAGAAGGGAGCTGAAGACAAAACTTGCACGCAGCTATACCTCAGGCTTGAACACTCTCTAGGTACATCAACACAGGAGTGTTATTTCGGAATAACTGACATTATTTCAAAATACCAGTACATGTCTACACAGCAAGCTGTTATTTTGAAATAATGTCAAAATGGAAAACTTCTTACTCATGAGGAGTAAGGGAAGTCAAAAGGACCGTGTTTTCCCTTTGAATTCCTGCTCTGTAGACAGAACCAAAAGCCGAATTACATTATTTCGACTTCAGCTACACAATTGATGTAACTGAAGTTGCATATCTTAATTCAACTTTTGCCTTGCAGTGTAGATGTGACCTGTCAGTATAAGTAATGGCCTTCTCCATTGAGGAACTTATTCCTGTGAATGGGGCAATTGCAGGAATTCCCCTTTAAAAAAGGGTGATTGGGATTGAAATCTTCACATCACAGATGGCAGGGTTTTCCTAAAGACATTATACAAATTAAATGGGCCAAATCCAGCAGTCATTTGTGTCTCAGGTAATGCTTCTGTTGAAATCAGAAGGGATGGAGAATCTGGCTGTATCAGAAGGCATTTATTATATATACACTCATCGCTACATAATCCCCAACTATCCCTATCCTTGTAAAACAAACCTATCACCATCAACACCCTAGACCTTCTGTCTACAAAACTTTTGTACTCTTCTCAGAGAGAAATCAGGAATTCTATAGTCTCATTCCCACATAAAATACATCTCTGAGGAAGATTCCTTTGCCTCCCTCTCCATCAGGCCCCATAAAAAATCACATGGTGGGCTTTGCATTTCTGTCTTCTCTCTTCTCAAGCTCCAGCACACCCCAGGCAGCTCACTTTGTACCATCTTTTCTTTTTCCTGAGATTGAAACCAGAATGATAAAAGAGTAGTAGGCATCGAAACAGACCAGCTCCCACAAGTAGTGAAAGTTCAGAAAACGATTAACACACAGTCTTTCCAGACTGCTCTCTGTTGCTTCTTGAATCTGTCAGTGTCTGGGGGGGAGGCGATGTTTACAAACAGCCTGGTCCTCCTGAGCGAGGTTGTGCTAGATTGAGACGGGACAGGGTGACTCTGGTGAGGATTCAAAACCACACAGTTATAGTTGCTGCATTAGCAAACGTGGGAGTCCATAACTTAGGAGCTGTGCTTCTGTGACAGGCATTGAAGAAGCAGCAAACCGGCCGTGGTGCTCTTTTTCGTGCGTCTGTTTTCCTCTTCCCGCCGACCCCCTCTGCCCTCTCTGTGGCTTTGGCTGTCAGTGCGTCCCTCTGTCTAGCTCTCCGGCTGGGTCTCCCCCTCAGTGGTCCCAGCCGGACTCCTAACTCGGGAGGTTTGTGATTGGCGGCGGTGCTGACAGCAGGAGGAGCTTCGGGGTAGCCGGTGCAGCCAGCTCTCTGCTATAAGCCTCTTTGCAGCTTTCTCTCTCAATCTCTCTCTGCGCGTCCCTGTAACCGAGCAGTGAAAATTCACATTGGGGATCTGCTAACAGGCACAGATGTCATGTGAAAACGCACATGCTCTGCCGTGCACACAGCCCTCCTTTCTTTCTTTTTTTTTCTGTTCCTTTTTTTTTAAATAGAAACTCCCTTCGCCCCCCATCCCCCCCCTTGTAACTAACAAACCAACAACAACCATTGCTCCTGCTCCTCCTCTGTCCAAGTAATCAGAAAAGAAATCTTTTGGAGCTGCTGGTGGTATTTCCGAGCAAATACAGAGGGGGGGTGGCGCGGAAAAAGAAACACGCACAATCCGGACAAGTCTTTCTTTCATTCGGTTTACACACACGCACACACGCACACACACACACACACTACTTTAAAAATAACAACCTTGGAGGAATGATTTTCCCAGCAGAACAGATCTACTTCGGTTGCAGCCTTTATTCTTGCTGAGAGGGGATTTTTGTGATACCAGGTCCAAGCTGTTAGCTTCATGACTGCGCTGAGCAGGGAATCGCCAACACCATGCGAGGTAAGGGACGAATTACGGGAAACAAGGAGGTGGGAAGTGGGTTTTTTTTTTGGGGGGGGGGGGTTGATTTAACAGAGACAAGGGTTTGCTGCTGCTGTTGTATAAAGTTTTTCAAGAGTGTCCAATTTATTGTTTGTGATTTTAATTTTTCTTTACTTTGTTATTATGCAGGTGGTGCAGCTTACTTAGGTTGGTACGGGAGGGGGAACTAAACCAAGCCCAAAGTAAACAAACAGTTCAGAGACGTTAGTATAGCTCACTCGGCGCTGGTCATCTGCTATAAGTACTTGCACATAATGACTAGCAAGAGTCTAATTCAAAGAGAGAATGCGGTTAGCACTTGGTGATAGGGGCGGTTTTAACTGGGAGTTAGGACTCAGAAGAGTTAAGCCTCCTTCGCACGTCCAGGCTTCCATTAATAGGTAGAGATGAGGAAACAGTCCCCCGAGAGCTGTTGGGAAATGGCTAGAAATGTCTGATTTTCGCGTGCGTTGGGCAGTGGTGCAGGTTCACTCTCAGGGCGAGCGCACACAAGTATGAGGCAGGTGGTTTGGGGTGGGAATTTTGGCTCGGGTTGATTTTGGGAGGGCGGAGGGGTGCGCAAGAAGGGAGGTTTTCTTTCCTGGCGTGTTGCTCTGCCGCTTAGGGGAAGGATCCCGGCTGGTAGGAGGGGGCAGAGGCTTCTTAACTTGTGGTTGGAACTTCCCCTGCTGCCCGCTTTGTTTTATTACAACCTCCCACCCCCGCCCGCCAGCCCTGCTCAGTGTCAGCTGCGGTCCCTTTGGATCGACTGATTTTCTTCCTAAGGGAGGGCTGGAGAGGGAGGCCCCGGTCACCGGCTCCCTGAGGCTGACGTTGAAGGGCTGGGCTGTCTGGAAGCACCTGCTTGGCTCTCCATTGGGGGCTTTATTCCAGGGCTGTCTAGGTCTCAGCTCGCCAGTGCTAGGAGCCAAGAAGCCCCTTCCCTGCGTCTCCCTCCTTCCCCTGAACTTTAAGCTGACTCATTCTTCCATGGGAGAGTAGCTCCTTGCATTTTAATGGAGGCTTGGACCAGTCTCAAAGCAAAGGGTCCCCCCACCCCCTTCCCGACTCTTCTCCCGCCTGGCAAGCCCTTCACAAATATTCAGAGACT